TCTTATCTGTCAGATATTGAATTATAATGTCCTACCCCCTGGACTCCTTGGAGCAATATGGAAGAACCATTACCCCCTGTCAGTCGCGTTCATCCCTGCAGCTGCTCACCACTGCCTTGGGAGTGTAGCAGCTCAGGTTCAGTCCAGGGATGCCTTCTGCAGTCTCTACCCTTGTGGATGGAGGTTTGGAATTCAGAAGTCCAAAATCCCTGGGCTAAAATTAAGGTGATGGCAGGGCTGGTTCCTTCTGGAGGCTCTAGGGGGGATCTGTTTCTTTGCCTTTTCCAGGTTCTAGAGGCTGCCTCATTCCTTGGCTTAGGACCGTCAAGCATGTCACTCTAATCTGCTTCCATCACCACATCACGTTCTCTTCTTCTATAGAAGTATCCCCCTCTGCATCTCTCTTTATAACTCTGTGATAACATTGGGCCCACCTGGATAATGCAGGCTACTCTCCCCATCTCAGGAGCCTTAATTTAATCACACCTGCAAAGACCCACCATTTGTCTTCTCCCTTAACAAATCTGGTGTGTCTCTCCAGTGGCAGCCCCCGACTGAGCCTCTCCTTGTTCCTCAGTTTCAGCTGCTCTGGGAGAATGGCTCCTCCCTTTCTGAGGAGTCCTGCAGGGATCACCAGAGTTTGTTTTATGTATGCTATTTAACCCCTTTTAAATTAGGCCAGGATTCTTCAGCCTTGGCACCATTGGAATTTGGGCCAGATAATTCTTCATTGTGGGGGGCTGTCCTGTGGCTGTAGGATATTTAGCAGCATCCTTGGCCTCTACCAACTAAATGCCAATAGCGCACGTATATGCGCGCGCGCACACACGCGGGTCATGACAACCAAAAATGTCTCCAGACATTGCCAGATGCCTCCTATGAGGGAGTCAGCCACTGCTGAGAACCACTGAGATGGGCCATCTTAAACATGCCCCCTAAATATTGACAGACTCTGTCCAGCTGGTAACTTTCAGGTGGAATTGCTATTATTTTATTTATTAAGTGCCTTTTCAAACTGCCCACAACAAAGAGGTTGGGCATGCAAAACATAGGCATGGCACAGGCAAAGACACAGAGGCCAGAAACCAGGAAACCCAAGCAGGAAACATTGGGATCCTGGCGGGTGTATCCAGAGTCCTCAGCAAGACATGTCTGACCTTGTTCAAATGACATCATCACCCTGTGCCTCAGTTTCCTCATCTGCAAAGTTGAGATTGTAATAATATTGACCTCACAGGACTATGGTTGGAAGAATGAAATGAGTAGAGTGACGCCCAGGAAAATAGCAAGAGCTGTGTAAGTGCTTGCTGTTACGATTGTAATGGGTCTTAGAACAGCATTCTTGCCCCAAGTTCAATATTGCCCATCTTCTGGCAAACAGAGGCTTCCACCTGCCTACCTCTCACACCCTTGTCTCCATTTGGTGCATGTAAGGATTTTCCATATATTAGGTTTGTGTCAAGCAGAGGTCACCCTAGATGGCAGAGTCTGGAGCTCTAGGCTTACGGACTGGCTCTGCTAAGGCCTGAGGCCAAGCCCCTTGCCCTGTCTGCCTCCCTTGGCTCCATCTACACTGGCAATTGTCCAGCTACCTCCTGGGGCTGTTGGTGGGAAAGCCGGTTAAAAAAGGGGAGGAGAAAAGCTCTTTATAATCTGCAAAGCAGTGCAAGAAAATCACGTTTAAATCACCAGCTT